CGGACGACGAAAAGAAGGAAATAATCCAGTTTACATGTAGGTTGGAGAGTGTTTGTCGTGAGTGACAGTGGTTACTCTTGTTGGAGTCTAGGGTGATGTCTGCAACCTGTACTGAGGTGCAGTTGTGGCATCAGCCGGAGAAAGTGCTGTTGTGATTTCGATAAATTGTACCACTAAAACGGTACGTTGGAAGGAATCAGGCCCTTTAACATATTCTGGGTAGCTGTTTGGGCTAGAGAAACTATTACATTGCGCTACCCGGTGTCGATGTATATACGGCGGGTGAAACCTGACCTATGGAAAGAGTTCAAGCACGTGATTAATCTAAATATGCCTTGGTAACATCCAGCTCCCACATTTATACATTTGTCCCCTCTTTCTGTTTCAAAGTTTCCTCCACGTTTTCTTCCTATGTATATAAATATAAATACATTATACTGGGGGTGTCCCCCGATCTGGTGGCGGAATATACTTGTCCCGTTGTGTCTTAAAGGTCAATCTAGAGCTCTCACAAGCGGTTATATAGCGATATATAACACGTGGTGAAATAAAACCAACCAAGTAAAGGGAGGCTGGAATTACCATTTATGGCTCATTAGGTGTATTCAGCCAGGCATAACTAATTCCTAAGATAGCGACCCCAAGATTTGAACCCGCGATATTTGGTCATTGAGTGCCACAGTACCATAGCACCACGGACTCGTTGTTTTCTGGTGGTTGCGATCGGGAATATGGTGATATTAGGGCGTTCACCGATCTGGTTGCGCAATATCGTCAGCCCTTCGCAAAACGAAACGACCATGTTTCGTGACCAGATCGACTGAAAGGAGGGGGACGAAAAATGGCTTTGAAGATTGTCTCTGTAGAAGATAAAACAAGTATAGTTAGAAAGCAATTAATATCAAGCGATTCGTCCCAAATATCAGAAAGACCCTTTTGAAAGTTCAGAAGTTGCGTGTTTGAGAAGGAAACGGATTGTAAGGACTTTGTGCCTTCCGAAGTCAATTTTTTTTTACATAGTGTAGCTTTGAATACCGATAATGTGCACGAAAATCTGATTTCAACTAGAAGATTATTCCAGATGAAAGCATATTTGGAAACAAAAAACGAAAACGGTTGGATGTGGAGCTACGGGGTGGCAAAATAATTATGGGGTAATTACGAGTGGCCTCAGGTCGATCTAACGCAATGAGAGCACTAATTCGTGGGAGATTAGGGCTCTTTTCAACGCGAAACAGGAAGCATAGGCCGGCTTCAAGTCTTCTTACCCACATAAATTTAATTTTTGTTAGCCGACACCTATCAGTATAAGAGATACTGAATCCAAAAAGATAGAACCCACTTTAAGTAGAATCTTTCTGAACATTTGCAATGTTACTGCGGTCAGATGCGTTCATCAGACAAAAAAGGGAACAGCAGTCTTCTAGAATTCGAAGAACAAACATACGGTACAGTTTTAACTTTATTTCCAGGAGGAAGAAGATATGGGAGATGAAACCACATAGTTGCACAGCCTTTGCAGAAATTCGATCTGTATGAGGCGAAAATGCCAGCTTATTCGTGCAACTTAGAACTTAGTACTTTATGGCGTAGACTTTTTAGAGTGGAGTTTTCTTCAATGGCTAGGATTACAGGAAGATTTGGGCACCGAAACTCACGAAACTACACTTGGACGGACAAAATTTAATCTGCCGACTAGAGCTCCGACACGAGAACGTAAACAAATCTGTTATGTTTTCATTTACGCAAATGTTGGCCGTGTCGCTAGAAAATGAGTGAGTGCGTAAATTTAATTGTGTGCGTTTCTAAGGGATGTTGAAATGTAATCGATGTACAAAATTAGGAGAAGAGAACCCAAGGCCGTGTCTTGGAAAAGGCTGCTCTTGATCAGTGTAGAATGTTCGGATTTTGTTAACTTGAGTAGACGCGATCTCCCTTAAATC